AAATGTAGTTCTCTCTCTTTGTTTTAATCACATATTTTTCAATAAATAATATTACACGTAAATTCAAAATTTTCTCTTTCTTTTTAACTACATGTTATTCAAAAAATAACTATTTCAAAATATATTTTTTTTCCCAAAAACACATTTTAACAGAACTCAAACAAGGGCTTAGACAACCAGTGTTCCCAGAAAATACACATGGTTGTATTCCATTGAAAGATTAAGAGAATGTTTGGTGGGGATTAAAATTAGATTTTTAGTGAATTGTGATAGAAGATTTTGAAATGTGTGGTTGAAAAGATGTAGGACACATGAAAGATATGGTTAATATTGATTATTTGACTTTAACTTAGAGAAAAATCAGATTTTAATACAGTCCAAAAATGCCCTAATTAATTTCTGTTTGTCCATCTTTAAAGTAAAATTCTTTAATTTTTATACTCTTTTTTAGAGTGTGTTTGAGCCAAAAAAAGAAAACTTATTGATGTAATGAAAAATATTATTTTACTGAAAAATGTGTGGTTGAAAATTAATAGAAAATAAAAATAAAATTTTTTATGTGGCCCAAACAGAGGCTTAATCATATATTCACACAATAAAATATTTTGTAAATAAATTTAAAAAAAATCCATACTTTTTAACTACAAAGTCTTTCAAAATAATGGCAATCAGGGCTAATTCTTTTAGTGGAAATTACACAAAACAAGAGTTTTCAAAATTCAATTTTAAATTTCAGATATAAAATTTCACTTTTCAAAAATCAGATGTTGAATTAATAATTAAATATTATACACACCCAAACCCTAATTTTATTTCATTTCTCTCCCTTCTCTCTCTCTTCATTTTTCTTCCTCTTCTCCCTCTCTCACTCCGTCAACCGACCCATTCACACTTCGACAATTGGCGATGAAGGAGATACGTCGGCCGATGCTGCGGCATCAGACGCTGCTCCGACCGATGCTGCGGCTTTAAAACAGCTTAGATTGTCGCTGCTCCGGCCGTTCAGTTCGCCACTGCGTACTCGAACTCCTATAATATCTTCCCGATTTCGTCCTTTACGTCTTCAATTGTTCGTCCATTAGTACAAGCTTCCACCACTGCCCCAACACCTTAATATCCTCTCCATAGAAAGTTGAGCTTTTAGCAAGGAGTTTGCCATTCGAGTAACTCTATTTCCTATTGAATCTGACCTCGAAAATTCGTTACCAATCTCCTCTAACTGGAGGCGGCGGTGGTTGTGATGTGGCGGTCTAGTGAGTTAGTGGTGGTTGTGTTGCGGCATCCAGGTTGCTTTTAAGTCCGGTTCGGGATCTGATTTTTTGGCTGCAATGTGAAGTCAGCGGTCTGGGCAGGAGGTGGCGATGTTGTTGGTGGTTGTCATGGTGGTGTTGGTGGTGTGATGTGATGCGATGTGGTGGTGGTGGGGTGTGATGCTGGAGGTGCTGTAGGGTGATGGCAGTGGTGTACTATACTGGCGATTTTGGTGTGTTTGGGGA